TCAGCACTTCAACAGGGATGTTATCTTTCCCAAGCGCCTTGCCAGAGGCAAGGGAATCCAAGGCCGCTTTTATTTCTGCTGAAGTTGGTTCACTGTCCAACTCTTCCAAGACAGGCAGGCACTCGATGTTATTAAGTTCCTCTTCGGTTACTACATTTTCTCTGTAATATAGCTCAGAGTTGTGCTGCACCCAGTGTTCCATTTGCTGTGCTCAGTCCTGGATGATCACCCCTGTAGCAGTCTTCAAAGGAGCAGATTTCTTCTGTATTGGACCTAAAGCCTGTTTGACACCGTCATACATTCCCTTGATGTTACCTGTGTCCACTGCTATCTGTATCTGAGAGCAGAGCTGAAGCCAATAATCATTAGAATATCTCCTGGCAGCGTGTTGGAGTTTGCTACGAGGAAGTCGAAGAGCCTGCAAGTTGGACTAACTAGGACAGGCTTTGTATGCTGCTAGAGCTCTCTTATCCTCGATGGCTGGCATCAACTCCTCTGAATGAGCTTTGAACCAGTCTGCCATCTTTTTGGTCTTCTTTCAGGATATACACTTATAAATAAAGAACATTGAATTGTAAGATATTGTATGTTTATGTAGACCTGCTTGTGAAAAAAGTGGATTATTTTCAAAAGTAGAAAAGTCTACCATAACCACTTTAAAACTCTTCTTTGTGTTTTTTGGGGTTTCCCCCCCGCACATAACCCACCTGTCATAGCAGCTCCACTGGCTGCCATTCCGTTTCTGGGCCCAATTTAAAGTGATGATTTTAATCTATAAAGCCCTAAATGGCTTGGGTCCAAACTACAGTGGTGCCTCGCATAGCGACGTTAATCCGTTCCGGATTAATCGTCGCTATGTGAAAACATCGCTAAACGGAACAGAAAAAGCCATAGGAACGCATTAAACTTTGTTTAATGCGTTCCTATGGAGGATAAACTCACTGTTCAGCGATGTTCCTCCATAGGGGCGGCCATTTTCGGTGCCTCTAAAGCGAGGCAGCACAGCGGGTCGGCCATTTTGGAACCGCCGACCAGCTGACCGAAAATGGGGCCTTTGGCATTTTCCCCCAGCTGAGTGGGGGGAGCTTCAAAGCCCCGCCGCTCAGCTGGGGGAAAATGTCGGCAGTCGGCGGTGGCTTTGGATGGACCGCAAAGCCACCGCCGATCGCCGACATTTGCCTTCTGAGCTCTCCAAGGGCTTCCCCCCCCC